ATTAGTAAATGGCTTAGAATTAAAAACCATTCTGCTAATAGTGTTATGTCAGTCTATTGTGAACGTTGTTGTTGTTAGTTGCGTGTCTGACCCATTCCAACCCCATGACAATGTTCCTCCAGGCCTTCCTGTCCTCTACCATCCCCCAGAGTCTATTTAAGCTCATTGTGAACGTATGTATCTCTAAACTAGTAAAGTATGTCTTGCATCCCACAAAGGCTATTTTCGCTCCACCACACACACACGGTGTCTAAACTGTTTATGCACACACACACAAAGGCTCATATTCATTCATTCATTCATTCATTCATTCATTCCTCCATTCATTGATAAAGCTGCAATGTTTTTCTTAACCATTTAACTCAACGTTTGTTTAGTAGCTTTCAATAACCATTGATGTACTCTCATACATTTAAACTTAATAACTTGTCAGTTGACTAATTCTATTACATGTAGCTTGAGGTTCTTGCAATTCTGCTATAAAAATATTGTTAATAAAATCTAATTATCTTAAATATCATTTACAGCAGACTATAGCTTTTTAAATGTTGACCTTAACTTTTTACTGGAAAACAAATGAATGCTAGGTTATTGGTTAAGCAGAAATCTATGTATAATTGCACTTGCCAATTTGTATTCAACAAAAGTATATATTTCTTCTCCTGGGATAAAATATGAATCATTATGCTGAAGCATGTACTTGGTTCAGTATCTCTGACTTTTATTTCATTCTCTGTTTTTATAAAATTCCAGCTTCCTGATTTTATGAAGTTCTTGCTGTTATTTTTTAAAATTCCTATCTTGTATCCTAGGCAATATTTTATAAAGTAGGTTTGTTCACCAATCCAGAAGAGATGCAGTCAGGAACTGCAGTTCAAGTTGTGATTTGCATGCCTGTTCTGATATATTGGACAGAATAACTTGTTGCTAGAAATTAATATCTTTGCCATAGCCAGCAGAGTTGAAGGAACTAAACAGATCCTTCAATTTTGTCCTAGTGGAAAATGCTTTGGATCTTTCTACCTTGTAAGGAGTAGGAATATAGCTATAAATATCCAATTCCTCAATGATTGTTCCAATTCGCCACTCTTTGGAAATCAGGGTCATGCATGAGATGTGCAGAGTGTAGCACAATTGGGGCATGGGACTCCATTACTCCATTATAATAACTGTTGGTGTTATTCTGTGATGCCACTCAATGTTTTCTATCAGTTTTTGATGATCACTATCTTCAAAGCCAGTAGAGACTTCAAAGAACAATTACAGCTTTTAGTTTCCTTTGCTGGATGTCACAGTAGCACAGGTTTCCTTTACAGTATCTTTGAAGTGCTTGTGTGGATGATTTTAAGGTCTCTTCACAGTTTCTAGTACATCATAGAACAACTGGTGAGTTATATGGTGGTCATGCATTCTAATGATTTGTCCCACACTCCATATTTGGTCTCTAATAATCAAGGACTCAGTGGTGAGGGACTTCACATTCCTCCAGATAGGATGGATGGAACAGAGAATATGCATGTGAAATGTCTCTAGTTGTTTGATATGTTGTAGAACTCATATCCATATAGGAGAGAATGGACAACTACAGTTCAGTATGCTTTCAACTTTGTGGAGATATGAAGGCTGTGTTGATTGGGCACTCTAGTATGCAGATGCCTCAGATGCAGAGACTGTGTGTCCATAGATGAACTGCACAGCATGTCTTCTTTGAATCTGAAGGACTACCTATATATAAATTGAATACATGGAGGAAAAACTCCTTTTGTCCTCTAGATTGAAGCAGCTATATCCAAGTAATGTCATTTCTGCTATTTAGGGCAAAATATATAGTAATTCTGATTTAATAGAACAGCCTTTTTATTTCATATCCAACTTTTAAATACTGAGTTAAAGGTTTCTGAGGAATTAATCACTCAAAGCAATTATAGTAAAAAGCTAGTAACCCATCAGGTCCAGACATCTTTCCTGTTTTAATCTTTTTTATAGCTTCACAAACTTTATTGTTATGGGCCCATTCATAATCTATTTTTATTTCAGTGCAATCTTCCGTAAATTTTGTTTCTTATATATTGAACTATTTCTTTAAAGAAATGTTTTGCCCTTAATATAAATTGGAATAATATTGATGAAATACTTTTTTGCATAGACACATTATCTGTTATTACAGCTTTCTCCCCTTATAATTTCAATGTCATTTTCTTTTTCTTTTCATAATTGGTATGCCAACCACTTCCCTGGTTTATTTGTAAACTCTTTTTTTGCATTTCATTTCATTTCATTTTAATTTCCATTTTCTTAGTGTTAACATAGATAATTTTTATTAAACAGAAACTTAATTTGTTGAGAAATATGTATCTTCTCTGGAAACTTCTTTAATTCCTCTTCTTTTCTTTTTGACTTATCCAAAATAGTTTGTGTTTTCTTTTGTACTTTCTTTTTGAGTTTACTGTTATGTTGTATAAAGTAGCCTTTCTTAAAAGCTTTGCTTCCACCCAAACCATTCTTATATCTCTACTTTTATTAAGATTATTTTCAAAATACTATTTTGTTTTCCACTACTGCTTCTTTCTGTAATGGCATTTCATTTTACCACTCTGGGTTTCCATTTTATAAACCAAACTCACTTTGGTAATATCTCTATTTTATGAACCTTGGTTGAATTCATATAGATATGTTCTTGAAAAAGATCTGTGTCTTTCAGAAAAATTAGAATACTCTCTTGAATTGCCACTGCATCAGCAAGTTCTAAATTGACCATAAAATTAAAAAAAAAATCCTTTTGGTAGTTCACCTTATGTAATTTTATTTTTTTTCTCAGAAGTTCAGACTATTTGTGTAGAGTTCACTCCATTCCATTCCCCGAATCTTCCAAATGCTTTCTTGCTTAAGGATTGTTTCATTCCTCTTTGCTTATGTAACGTTTTTTGCCCATTCCCCTCAAGGTCTTCTCATTGCTTTCTACAAGCACTTATTTGCTTTCACTATGTTTTATTTGTAGTATTTTTATCTTATTTGTTAATAAAACATCACATAAATGAGTTCTTATACTTTTAAACCAAGCACAAAAAAACATAGTTTACAGGTGCATATTTTTGAAAATAATCAGCAACTCAGCTAAGCAAGCATCTGAGCTAACATAAAACAAAGGATATTAAAATATGACTTGAGGTTAAAAAAACTACATTGGATCATTAGTCAGCAACTTATATGCTTTGTTGCAACTCATCTAAACACATTTTCCTGTAATGTGGTATCTTCCAAATGTGCTGACATTTGATACTGGCACATTCAACTTATCAGAAGCTTATGCTGTTGGGAAAAGACTGCTTAAAGACAGTGGTAACGGTATATAATAGTCCAGAGCAAATCCAGAGTGTTCAACATATGGAACCAATGAAATTTAGCAGCAACACAGCAGCTTATATCTGAACTCTTTATTATTTTTTATTTACTCAAAATACTGCAGTGGCTTCAACAGCAACTGGCATTTGGATTAATAATTGGATTTCAAACATCAAATAAAAGTCAGAAGTGGAGATGTTTCTGATATATTCTGGCTACAACAATTCTACAGTAACAGCAGTTACTGCTTCGCACATCTGTTGGGAAATATAATTTGTTCCCTTTCAGTTTGCGTATTTCATTTTGCAAATATTATGGATTATAAATACAGCCTTAATTCGTTTCAAAGTCAAGAAGATAGCATTCACAGTAAATAAGTGTTTCTTTGAATTAAACATGCACCTGGGTTTATAAATGAATTTGGACAAGATATCTGATACATTTTTACTACCACAGCTGGACTGTATTTATTGTCATTTATTTGTTCCAGTACACAGCTAATGCAATATTCATTCTCAACAAGTTCATTGATGCTAATTCTGTAATCACATTGGACATGTTAATTGTGTAAATATCACTTTTTAAATATTAAACTTCTAAATTGTATTCTAACTCATGAAATCATCTTTTTTCTTCTTGACCCACTTAGTGGTATACTGTTTACAGTTTCTAACTTCCTTATCGATTATCTAAGAAATGATATACCACAAATGTTATATTGCCATCATGAATCCTTGAATTATTTCTTGAAAAAAAAATCTACACATTCTTTAAATTCTAGCAATATCTTCTCCTATAAGAGTTCTTATCAGATTTAATACTCCATTGTGTTAAGCTGCTATTGGGGTAAAACATAGCACCATTATATGTTTAGGAATATATCAAAGCCATGGATGAAATTTATCAGAACAAGATTGAAATGATTCATCAGAATATGCCATTTCCCCACTTCTATTTGTTTGCTTTTTCCTGCTTTTAAAAACCTTTTACAAATTGGATTTAATCAGGTTTATAGGCTGATCATAAAACCTATGTTTCTAACTTCTATTAGAATATTCTAAGATAACATGCAGTACTAAACTATGGCTAGGCATTATATAACATTTAGTGAGACCATTTTTAAAAAATATATTTTTATTGTTTTTTTAAATTATACATCCATATTGTATGTGGAATTGATTCTGGCTATTATTTATATTAATCCAATTCACTGTAACACTGTTGGTAATCTCTATCACATTTATCAAATTTAGGTAATCCTCATTATATTGTTTAAACATACATAGAAAAAAATGCTTAACATCTGCAAACTTCTAATCTTTCTATAAATTATTTTTATTTATTCTATAAAAAATTATATTCTAATATTTCTCCTGTCTAATTTTATTTCTGCCTTTTTCAGCTTATGCTCTAACTGAAGATGTTACTGAAGTGCTTCCAACATTATGATTTTCAGTCCAAATGCTTTTTTAAGGAGAGAGCATTTTAAAGGTCATCAGATAATTATAAGGGACTCTGTAAATCATAAATGATGTTTATAATCTCATTCACCTAAGGAAGTTTTGCACTGAATAAAACTTCACAACATTGCAAGCCTTCCTGATTATTTTTCTATTGATTCATTCTCTATGCTTTTCTTCTTTGCTCTTTTCCCCCAGGTGTGCCAATGCTGTTTGTAATCCTCTGGGGAATTGTCAAGTACCTTTATGAAGATGAGGGGTTGGTTCAGTTCTGATTCATAACTAATTCATGTGAAGGTTGTGTTTTGTGGAGTGGGTGAAGTTGCACATTTTTCTTGGCTATAATTGCTTTGGCAATGGCTATTTATTGTATTGACATTTTGTACATTTACTCCACTTGTCACTTGATTAGTGTAAAAGCTTTTCATTACATTTTATTCAAACAAATAAGCACAAGCTTTTGCTGTTCAGCAACCTCTGCATGCCTAAATATACATCTGGCTGGAAAAGCACACTGTTTTATGTAACCTGCCTTTCATTGTGACTCATCATCACACTTGGACAGCTTGTCTTTAAACTTGTATTTCTAGAGGCAGCCAATATGCCTGGGTAATTTAATAAAACTTTCCAATGCTGACATTAATCTCTGTGATGGGAAAAATGCACATTTTGAGGATCCAGAATTGTGATTTTGTTGAAACTACACTAATCAGAGATCAAACGCTAGTGATAGTTTAGTCTGTAGTCTAATTATTTTTTTCAGCAGAAAAGAGATAAAAATTTGTCACACAAAACGTTTAACTGAATTTAAATGAAAGTTAGGCTGACCCACAAGGATTGGGCTACCCATAACTTCTGGTCATTGATTCTGGCTTCAGGATAGAACACAGTACTGAACTATTTTAATTGAAGGGGACAACAGCAAGAATATTGCACATATGCCTGATTAGTGAGTTTCCAGTGGATTTATGCTTTTGATGAAACACCTTTCAGCCCTCATAAAAACCCCATGCAGGTAGTCATTTGTTCAGTGACTGTTCAAAGTTACGACACTGAAAAAGTAACTTATGCAGCATCTCCATGGTCATGTGATCAAAATTTGGATGCTTGGCAACTGGTTCATATTTATGACTATTGCAGTGTCCTGGGCTCATGTGATCATTTACAACCTTCTGACAAGGAAAGACTATGGGAAAGCCAGATTTACTTAACAATCTTGTTACTAACTTGATGCATGCAGTGATTCATTTAACAATTGTGCTAAGCAAGTTCATAAAATGGGGCAAAACTCACATAACAACTGTGTCATTTAGCAACAGAAATGTTGGGCTCAAATTGTGGTCGTAAGTCAAGGGCTACCTATAGTTCACAACAACACAAATCTAGTTAATAACATCACTATTTAAAAAGCATCTTTGCTGGTAACTGTTTTTTTAAAATATCTGGTTAAAACCATTAAACACTGGTGAAAAAAATAATATTAACTTACTGTCCTCCCACGCACCAAAATTCTCCAGAGGTTCAGATTTAGGGTCACTTTTCATGCTTACACTCTCTCATACTTATGCGTATATATCGCTTTGATTTGTATGCTGCAAAATCTATATCCAGTCACAATGGTTTACATACATCAACCATTCAAGTATAAGCTACAATGCTTCACTTTTCCCATGAAGATGAATCTCCAGTGACAAGTCTAATGCAAAAAGAGGCCCTTTGCAGGATATCCTTCCTGTAACCTGGTTCTAAATTTATCAGGGCTTTCTAGGTAATAATCACAACATTGAATTGATTTTGGAAATATTTATTTATTTAGTATATAGCAGGCCTTGAAAATAAATATAAAGCCAGTGGGTATGAAATAGATGGGGAGAAATAATGATCTCAAAAGCAGACACAAAAGCATTCTCGCTACTGCATTTTCTTCCAAGTTTATTTCTATTCTCCAGTTTGTTTATTGACTATCACTGCTTCTGCTTGTCTAGATTAAATCTAATTTCTCATAGCCTCTGATATTTTATTCCTGTACACATACTAGTGAATTGTCACTGTGGAAACTGAACTTGTAAACATTTAATCTGATTCTGTAGCATCTTTAGTCTGATGAAGCATGTTTACTCACATCTCTAGTTATAAGCCATGCTTCTTGTGGATTGCAAAAAGCTTCAACAACAGATTATTGTTATTGTTATAAAGTATTGTCCTGCAGAATAGGTGCTAGTCTCAACAGGGGACTAATTTTCTTTTTTATTTCATTTGACTTAGCAAAATGCATTTATAAAAAATATACAACACTTTTTTTTAGCTATGAGTGTACATTTGATGAAGCAAGCTATGCTATACATGAATAGAATAGAATAGAATAGAATAGAATAGAATAGAATAGAATAGAATAGAATAGAATAGAATACTTTATTGACCAAGTGTGATTGGACACACAAGAAATTTGTTTTGGTGTAAATACTCTCAGTATACATAAAGAAAAGATACATTCATTAAGAATCAAGAATCATAACGTACAACACTTAATGATAGTCATAGGGTACAGTCAACAATCAAATCATACTAGGAAACAGTCAATATAAATCATAAGGATACAGCGACAAAGTTACAGTCCTACAGTCACAAGTGGGAGGGGATGGGTGATAAGGAGTGATGGGAAGATTAACAGTAATAGTAGTGCACACTTTGTAAATAGTTGAACAGTGTTGAGGGAATTATTTGTTTAGCAGAGTGATGGCTTTCAGGAAAAAAACTGTTCTTGTGTCTAGTTGTTCTGGTGTGCAGTGCTCTATAGTGTCATTTTGAGGGAAGGAGTTGAAACAGTTTATGTCCGGGATGTGAGGGGTCTGTAATTATTTTCACAGCCCTCTTTTTGACTCGTGCAGTATACAGGTCCTTGATTGAAGGTAGGTGGGTAGTAATTGTTTTTTCTGATTATCCACTGAAGTCTGTGTCTGTCCTGTTGGGTTGCAGAACCAAACCAGACAATTATGGAGGTGCAGATGACAGACTCAATAATTCCACTGTAGAACTGTATCAGCAGCTCCTTGGGCAGTTTGAGCTTTCTGAGTTGGTGCAGAAAGAAAATTCTTTGTTGTACTTTTTTGATGACATTTTTGAAGTTAGGTGTCCATTTTAGGTCATGTAATATAGTAGAACCTAGAAATTTGGAGGTCTCTACTGTTGATACTGTGTTGTCTAGTATTGTAAGAGATGGTGGTATGGGAGGGTTTCTTCTAAAGTCTACCACCATTTCTACGGTTTTGAGTGTGTTCAGTTCCAGATTGTTCTGGTTACATCACGAGGCAAGTTGTATAACTTCCTGTCTGTATGCAGATTCATCGTTGTCTCGAATGAGAGCAATCACTGTTGTGTCATCAGCAAACTTCAGTATTTTAAAAGATGGATCATTTAATATGCAGTCATTGATATATAGGGAGAAGAGAAGTGGAGATAACACACAGCCTTGTGGGGAGGCTGTGCTGATTGTACAGGTATCGGATGTGATTCTGCCTAGCTTCACCTGCTGCTTCCTGTCTGTTAGGAAGCTTATGATCCGCTTACAAGTGTGTTCAGGTACCACTAGTTTTGCATTGCACACACAGTGAATATATTTTGTGCCCTTGCTTTATCATTTATGACTAGAATGAATTCAGGGAAAAATTCAGGATGTGTATGTTTGAATAAGTATTATATTTTTCACATTTAGCTGTCATTTACTCACTAGTTATAAATGATTTAATACACCTGTTCAGTGACAAATTTGATCAGACATAAAATTAACAAGGCACACTTGAACTTATGCATTGTTCCATGGCAGCAAGTAAACATATCAGTGTCAATGAATGTCCAATTAGTTAGGTTAGTTAATGCTTTTATTGGAAAACAAGAGTAATAGTAAATGTAATATTAAAGGTAGACTGATAAAACAAACTCCTTATATATCTTCAATTGATTTGAACTCTAGAGATAAGAGATGTATCCAAAAAGTTAGTTTTGGCATAATCCTAGAATCATGTTCTACATAAAGGTTCATCTTTGGCATTGATTTAGAGGATATATTGATTTTCCCTTTACTGAATCACTTTTTTGTTTTGAGAAAATGTAAATGTTTCTGCCCTGACACTGACATACATGCCAAGAAAACACCTGTTGATAAAGAGTATACCTGAAGAGATAAAGGAAATACACCTGACCATGCCAATGTAAATTCTCTGCACCAAATGGTTTTGCTTTTGGTTGAGAGATTAAGATATTAACCCATAAACTATTAGTTAAAAACTATGTACTCTCATTAAATGAAGATCAAGTGGATCTCTTAGATTTAAGTCCCCTTGCTATGTGTCTAACCTGAACCTTACCCAGTGTACTACATAATCCAGTTATAACTGTTCTTTCCATAATTAGTTGGGGATTTTCATAACAAAACTTCAGAAACTTTTTTCTGATAGCACATTGCCTGGCTGCAAAAAGTACTTGAGTCTCAGCAGGAGTGTTGTGCAAGTATTCACTGTATGGTTCACTGAGCCTTTTTTTTCATATGTATATTCTTCTGCAGCTTTTATAGAGTGTTTAGAAAAATATATAAAAATAAGTTAAGTATAAATACTTAAACACCAATGTTTTCTGTAGATTTATTCAGTTCTGAATCTTTAAATGCAGTAAAACATATCCTACATGTGTGGGTCAAGTGATTGCCTAAGGGCCTTCAAACTATGTTCACTGGAGTGAGCATTCTGGTGTTCCCTTCCCCTAGTCTCCTAGAACAGTTTAGTATTTAATATTGCTACCATTGTGTTTGGGTATTGTTAATTGTCATCATAGGAGCTTCTTGTGGCGCAGTGGTTAGAATGCAAACTACTTCTGTTGACTACTGGCTGCCTGCAGTTTGGCAGTTCCAATCTCACTAGGCTCAAGGTTGACTTAGCCTTTCACCCTTCCAAGATGGGTAAAATGAGGACCCAGATTGTTGGGGGCAATATGCTGACTCTGTAAACTGCTTAAAGCACTGTGAAGCAGTATATAAATCTAAGTGCTATTGCTATATCAATGAGAATATTGGTTATTACAATTGTTTTGATGCCTTTTTGCATTCTGTACTAAATTAGTGACATTGAATATGTCTTTGAATTAAGTTGGGCAGTAGTAGTTGCCGAAAGGGGAACTACTACATAGACTACTAGATAGTCTATATACTTTGTATATAGACAAAGACAAAAGGGGTAAAAAAAGAGATTCTTCTAAAGGATGATTTTGAGGGTGTTGCAAATATGAAATAATCTTGTTGCATCTGTTGCTCTACATAAATGATGGATTTACAAGTTTCATTTAAAAGTCTTTGTGAAATCCAGCACTTTCAACTGTCTGAGTAAGCTGTACAGAAAGAACAGTTTTTATTATTACTATTATTAATACATGATTTGTGTGTGTGTAATATTATTTTTGGGTATTTTTTAACATTTTCTGAATTTCTTCTCTAAAACCAGATTACAGTAATTTTTCAGTTTTCTATTTTTTAGCACTCAGAACACTTTCAAGCATAGCAGTTTTTGTCAGTCCAAAGATGTGTTTGAAGTGTTTATTATGTTCAATTGCTTGCCTTTTATATTATTTTTAAAAAGACTTACAACTTCTGTTAAACATTATCAAATGAGTAGAACTCATGGAGTATGATTGGTTACCTAAATATTATAAAGATATTTCTAAATTGTAAAATATACTTGTGGCATTCCTCTCTGCAAAAAGCAACATTTTGTCTCTTACTCTAAAAGGTAGGAATGGCTATTAAATATCCTAATAGTCTTTACAGCTGGTTGCACATGATTGCCACTTGCAACCTTCCCTGCTGGTTTTCTCAGAAAGACAATGGGGAATTCAGCATGGGAAGTTCCTAAGTCACTGCAAGTTTCACCCACCTACCCACTCTTCCCAAGCCCCTCTGCACTCTGCTGTGCCAGCAATGCACATCCTCCCTGAGCCTCGCCATACCTATAACACACTATCCCTGAGCTTGACTGTGCCTCTTTTTCACCTCTTGCATACCCCTATATACTCTCTCCAACCTTTGCCATATCCTTCTTGGCCCTTGCTCTGCTTTCTTTACATCCTTGTCTCATCTCTTCATCCATCAATGGCATGCAAGGCAGTTAATAACATTAAATGTAATTTTATGTATGGATACCTGCATCAAAACAACAAAGTTAAAACTTCATTAATTGCACTCATTGGTTGTATTCTCGAATAAAAATATTTAGCATGTTGCTCAATGTCAGGTACAAAGGACAGGTCTATATGTAAAGGTCTAATTAAACTGATTTATTGCTACTCATGCATCATGCCTATACACAGGAACATTCTCAGTTAATGATTAGCACCTATTTGGAGTTCAATAAGGGTTAACAGAATTCAAGGGAACTGCCACTTAGGTTGCTTGTGGTTATACAGCACAATTATTTGATATTTGTTTGCAGTATTTTATTAATCAAAATTTGGAAACATCAAGTTGGGAAGCTAGTGTGGACTATGTTCTGTCTCAGACTTTGATACTCTTTGTTAAGCCAATCAGCTTATGAGGACTAGAGACACTGAGTGTATTTCATCTGCAATTAATATATTTCTTATCTTAAGCTACTGGTTTCTTCTGACAGCTTATGATCCACTTTGAGCTATGTATGATATGTAGCAGCCATATTACAAAAGTGTAACCTCATTTGACATATTTTCAGCAGAGGGATAGGAACTTTTCAAGAAGTACATTTGTTCCTTAAAGTGCTCTCCAAATGCTCATAAAAGTAAGTGGCAACCTTAAAAGAAAGATCCTTTCCTTAAAACCTCATCTGTCTAGCCAGAGGTGTTCGACAACTATCAACCAGTATTCAACCTTCCCTATTTCAAAAAATTAATTCAATGTGATGGGATTAATTTGATGTAGAAGAAGTGGCAGAACCTAGAAGCAAAGTTAAAAGGGGGATCAGCCTAGAATCCCTGTGTAACCAGAAGCAAACAAAGTGAAACCTCCCTTAAATTCTGTTGACCCTTATTTAACTCCAAGCAGGTGCTAATCATTAATTGAGAATGTTCCTGTGCATAGGTATGACATGTGACTAGCAATAAATCAGTTTAATTGGACCTTCACATATAGATGTGATCTTTTGTACCTGACATTTAATGACATGCTAAATATTTTTATTTGAGAAGTTATAAGGGTCCTAGGCTATGGTTGGCGTCTGTAGAAATGTCTTCATGATGAAGAATGGTTGAAGGATTTGAGTATGGCTTAGCCTAGAGACAAGAAGGACTGGGGTGACATGATAGCAGTATTCCAGTATTTGAAGGTTGCTACAAAGAAGAGGGAATCAACTTATTTTCCAAAGCACAAGAAACAATGGATGGAAACTAATCAAGGAGAGAAGCAATTTGGAATTAAGGAGAAACTTCCTAACAGTGAGAACAATTAATCAGTAGAACAGCTGGGCTTCAGAAGTTGTGGGTGCTTCATCACTGGCGGTCTTTAAGAAGAGACTGGACAGCCACTTGTCTGAAATTGTATAGGGTCTACTGCTTGAGCAGTGGGTTGGACTAGAAGACCTCTAAGATCCTTTCCAGCTCTATTCTGATGAGGGTGAATTGTTTTCAAGGAAAAACAAAGGGAGACTAGTTGCCCTTTGAAAAAGCACCTTTGAGACATCCTGTAGAAATGTTCTGTTTTAGGGAATTTTGGATCCTATGTGAAAATGTATTCTGAAAAACTTACAAATTTTCAGATGGGAATGATAACAGTAGCAATTAGGCTTACATACTGCCCCACAGCACTTTATAGCACTCTCTGAGAGGTTTACAATGTAAACATTATTTGCATATTACACCCAACAATCTTGGTCCTCATTTTACCAACCTTGGAAAGATGGAAGACTAAGTCAATCATGAGTCCTGTCAGAATCAAACTCTAGACTATGGGCAGAGTTGGTGCTTGTGGGTAGTTGGAAGGAAGGAAGGAAGGAAGGAAGGGAGGGAGGGAATCTAGGATTTTTCTGAGTTTTATTTACAAATGTTGCTTAAGACCTTTTTTTTATCTTTATGCCAACACAAGTGTGAACACAAACATTGTACAGCTAACTATATCCAGGTCCTCATATTCCACAAAGATGAGAAAACATCAGATTATCCAAAAAAAAAAAAAAAAGTGGGGGAAATACATGTGAAATATGCCTGCAACTTCTCAATATCTCCTAGTGGGATTGGTGAGGGAAAGAGGTATATCAAGCATGAAACTAGCACTAGTCAAAGAGATTTTAAATAATCCTGAGCACTAATAAGCTTTCAGTCGTCAACCCAGTGATAGACTTGAGTACTGAATGCAGAAGTACAGCTTCGTATTGCAGCATAATTTGCTGTTTGTGTTGAGTGACAGTTTGAGTAAATTGGTAGGCAGTCACTTGTCACTCACTAATGGGCTTTTTTGTTTGGTTTGCCTTAGTGAAAAAAATTGCTTCACAGTGCCAAATATCACTTCAGATCCAGTTACAATACTGTTTTGCTGTTGTCTGTGTGTCTGTTTTGAGGGTGAGGGTGTTATTTCTAAAAATAAAAGCATGCCCCAATTTTTCTCCATTTTGCTTTCAGGATTTTTTTTTAACTTCAGATGCATGTCTGTAGAATTATACAAGTAGTTCCTTGTGAACAACATGTAAATGCACAGTGAGATAGCAGCATCCATTCCTACCTCTTCTATACCTACCATCTTCAATGATGTGTAAATGGTACATGAGCAAAATGTTGTATAGGCAAGCCTTTGCCATATATATTGAGAATCTCAAGACTGACTTGGTCTTTTCCCCAGCAATATGTCTCTGCCCAGCTCTTATCTTTAAGAGTATCAGAAACTGCTGGAGCTATGCAAGCTCCATGTAAACTTTAGGACTATTTTAGTTCCCATATACTTATGTTCATTGCTGGGTTTTATAAAGAATAAGATAATTGGGGATAATTGAAGTAAGAGGGAAGAAAATCATCCACTTTTATAGGAAGCAATTTAACCCTCAACCACAAAATTGTAATTATATATCTATACTATAAATTGTAATTGGATATATGGTTTGGCTTTAAATAATATTCAATCTCTTCATGATAATATAATCAATTGATTATAAGCATTTTCTCAAAGCATGTTGGTTTTGAAGTTATTTGAAAGATAGACTGGAGGAAATCGTTGAAGGAGGAAAAGTGCTCGAAGAAGGAGCTGTTGAAAATACAGCTTTGTAGGAAGTGCATGTGTACATACTCAAATTGTTTGAACAGGGTTTCATTGAAAGCCTGGACAAACCAAACAGTTGTCTGATCAGCTACAAGAACAAAATTTTCTGCAAACCAAAACACATTTTTTCATTATCAATCAAAACCCTTGATTGATTTGGTATAGTAGTTTGATATTTGGACTTGTTGGCAATCAGTCTGTGACCTTTTATTTTGAGGATGGAAATGTGACTATCTATTGTGCCTCATAATTTGTTTTCTGATTTCTAATTAAATAACTTTTATTAACTATACTTAAAATTTAACAGAGGGAGCTTGAGAGCATCCATTTTTGCATTGATGCATTGAAACTATTTCTAAGATTCACATGTTCTATGCAATGGCATTAAGTAGCAACTATTATGCTTTTCTATGTATGAAACAGAAATATGGGATAATTAGATTATTATCTCTGGATGCTGATCCTTGTCCTATTTTTTATTATTCTAGCTGTTGGAACAAGAATCTGAACATGAACTACTGGCTGATCATCAGGCTACCTATTATGGTTGCTATTGGGGTAAGTGATTATAAACTCTTGCAATAGTTACATGGATTAGTGTAGTGTCCCTTCACTAGTGAAATAATTTTGTAGGAATTCAATTATTGTTTTCTGTCCCCTAACATTCAGTGCATAAATGATGCCTGATAAACTCATGCATTAAACCAGTCTTATCTGTAAACATGAATTTGGAAATTGCCTTTTTCTGTGTTCCAATAAATAAGTAATAGAATGTCCATCAACTTCATAGACTACTTGTGGCTAAACTCCTCTTTTCTTAACAAGCCAATCTTTTCTATGGTATGCATACTGGACTCTATGTTCAACAGAAAAGCTGTTGACAAGAATTCCCAATAGCCTGTGCTAATTTTATTATAATAATAAGCTATAGATAAAATGCCTAAGAATTAAACCATTATAATAATTAAGGCATCAATTAAAATATCAATTTACACTTGGCATGTGTGTCTAAAATTTCATTTGAAATGTGTTAACTAGAATATGTAATGATGCATTCCTTTGTGATATTTCATATGATGAGCATAATTTTGGAGTGAGTTGTCTGACAAGATAATCTTAAAAGGAACAGCATTATAGAGATTAACAGAGATATACTGCTCAGTTCTACAATCTGCTTTGTAATTCCTTTTTGTTTTATTCAGGTGAACTTCCTGATCTTTATCAGAGTTATTTGCATTATAATTTCTAAGCTGCAAGCCAATCTGTTGCGCAAAAGTGACATAAAATGCAGGTGAGATCATTTGTCAGCAAAAATATAAAGGTCCCCCCCACACACACACTCAAGCAAAATGCTTATGATAATTGATCATAGCGAAAAATGCTTATGACAACTGAAGAAGGTGCATCTAATAAGAGGAAACAAAATTGCAGTGCCATTTATCAGTAACAATTTAAGTATAGATGACTGTTGAATTATAGCAGAGAGGTATGTCAAATTTCTTTTTTATAGGGAGAGGGAATTTAACTTTTTATACTTTTCTATTGAACTCTGATTTAGGAGTATTTTGAAATATATGCAGTGTTAGGAATGTAAGTCACCTAACAGTTAGTTGGGTTGGAAAATATACAAACCAGGATAGACATTTTAATACTGTCTTTAAGGGAATGCTAAAAAAATGTAATTGGGTGTGGTTCCTCAAATGGCCATAAGATGGAGCCAGAAACCTGGGTTGTTCTGTCCTTGTTCTAGAGAGTGTTGCCGTTCCTATTGACTGTTGCTGAACATAGTTATTCTTGGATCTGATGTAAGTGTTACTAAACTGTTTATGATACTGGACTTTGTTATTGGATTATCCCTGGACTAAAAATCTGACTGCTTTAACCGTGAATGACTTGGACTGTTTTGTTGAACTTTGCTTAAATGTTTATTGGAAGTAAAAACCTACATTTTTACTATACAGTGTATCTGTGTGCTGGTTGTGTGTTATTCTTCACCACTCTCACTACGTCTCCCTGTGTGCGCTCATTCTTCTAACGGGGAATTACCTTAACATGCAGCTTGAACAGCTTGCCCTCGGAAGTTTTGGGAGCGCCATCACTTGAGACTTTCAAGAAGAGATTGGACTGCCATTTGTCAGAAAACGTGTAGGGTCTCCTGCTTGGGGGGGTTGGACTAGATGATCTACAAGGTCCCTTCCAACTCTGATTATCTGTTAATTATCTGTTAAAACTGTCTGTTTGTTAAAGAGTCTCCCCAATAAACCATTTACTTTGAAGACTTACCTGTCACTCCCATGTCAAGCTGTGGGGTTCTTTTTTTATGTGGGCTTCAAGTTATTTATTGTAGAAAGTTCTGATTTATCAAACATTTTAAAGTAGTAATTTTGGTATTGTCTGGAGTAGAAATGTACTAATAAATTTATCAATATTTATATTTGATATTAATATTAATGTTGATTGGCATAGTGTCACACTGTACATAAATATATGTCAACAATAAGTACCATTACAGCAAATATGATACATCCACAAATACCCTTTTCAAGTACAAATTTAACCAAATATTCCTTTAATTCTCCAGCTAGAAACATAATATTTTAAAGTACGATTTTACGAAGCCACTCATATTTTATCAAAGAAGTATAGAGTATTTTTTGCAACTGGAATAGCTTATTGGGAAATCAATCCTGTCCTCTAGGTCAAAAACATTTTTCCCTCTGTACATATTTGGGGTCCTCTTTTTGAGGGACAGAAGAGATACATCTCAATAATGCAAATCATTAGGAGCTACCACTAAATACCTGCAGCAAATTTTGATGCATAATGTAACAAGGCTTCCTTCTGGAGCTTGGAAGAACACAGTAGCCATAAATAATTTTGTGCCAGTTTTACTGTTTCTTGAGCTACTATAATTCAACATGTTGCCTTTAGGTTTGGAAGCCCTACAAGTTAGACTACCTCATTTTCCCAGGAGAAGTTGAGACCCTAGAGATGAGAGATGTTTGCTTTGTGGGATAGTTTTCCAAAAAGAGTGGTTAAATTTGTTTTACTCCAGTGGATTTTTTTTTCTTTTGGATGAATCTTTTGCTTCTGTTTGTTAACCTGTTTGATTGATCTTCCCAGATTGGCCAAATCTACACTGACTCTGATCCCACTTCTGGGGACACATGAGATCATCTTTGCTTTTGTTACTGATGAGCACGCCAAGGGGATGCTGCGGTTTGTGAAGCTTTTTTTTGAACTCTCCTTCTCTTCTTTTCAGGTAGGACCTGCATTCTCTATTCAGTTTGAAATTTTATAATCAAGATTTCAGGATTTCCCTTTTTTGAAACTCTGTTTCCAGGAATGTCAGCCATTAGGTTTGTCATCTGTCCAGATTTTTGAGTGTTCATCATAACTGAAGAATAGGAAACAACCCCCCAAAAATTGCCAAATCATTTCATCACTTCTGCAGCTGACTCAGCAAATGCAGGACCAGATTGTTTTCTTTGTGATATAGAATACAGAAGAGATCACTTGGTGTTCTACTTTCTGCCTTTATTCTGCTGCTATTATATACAGAAAATATTGAGGGTAGACAGTTTAATGTTAACGTTAATGTCTTTTAGACAGTTGAATGTTAATATTTCACATAATTATTTCTAATGACTCTGGAGAAGATTGTGCATTTTATACAGCTATATGAATTATTCTTTTTGCTCTATCCCTCCCTGATTTGCTTGTTATCTTATTCATCTAGTTTAATCTGGTTTAAGAGTCAATAATTAAATGTTTTGAGGTTTCTAATGATACACGTCAAGCTATATTTTTTCTAGCTGAACTGAATGCTCTGAATAGGCACAGGGTCTACATAGAAGTGTGCTGACTGCAAGCTAAACTGAAAATTACCCACATAACTTTCCAAGAGATGTGACTTGCACTATTTGCAGAATATTTGTAGAGGGTCATCAGGTTGATGAATTGCAATCCCAGCCTGTCTGGTCGGCTATGTTGTTAACATACTGCTCCTAATTCTGGGAAACTTCTTGTAGTGAATATACATCAGATTTAACCTGTTTAACTTGTGATGCTGTTTTTACATTGAACCAGTCACTATCTGATTGTCAGTTGTCTTCCTTTTTATCATTTTATTTCAAAAGGCCAATGAACTAAATTTCTAATAAAATTTATTAACCTGGCATTCTGTAGGAGCTTTTCTTCCTGGTCTTGAGTCAGCAATACACTAGTCAGTGAAATGAAATCTTCTTCCATAGAACTGCTTTCTTATGCTGTAGGAAAAAAATATTAGATATAGTCTGTTTCCTTATTAGCTTTGCTAGTGATGCTTAATTCAAAGATGTGTGGTTTTTCTAACTGCTATTTTGTTATCTTTATTTTTCAGGGTCTTTTGGTGGCAATTCTCTACTGTTTTAACAATACTGAGGTAAGAGGCATAAAAATTGGCTTTATTCCACAATACTAATTTTTAATTACTTCTATCAATAACACATTTAAAATAAAATCCTATTTATTTACCAAATGATGACTATTTTGGCTCCTTTATTTTAAAAAGGACTTGAATCTTTAAAATGGCAAACTAAATTTGACATCTGGTGACTTTTACCTTTTTGGATTTAAGAAATTTTAAACAGAGACTTAAGTCCCTTGAGGAGCTCTCGGTAGTGTCCAAGGTACAATTAGTAAAAAAGCAAAAAAGGAGGAGCATTTTGATTTAAGAAAGTTTTAAACAGATTGGGAGGGCTTTATTTATCTAGAAAAGATAATTTGTTTATCCAGAAAAGAGAATCCTTATATCAATTTCCATAATGTCTACCTTTTGCCTGAGCTCAAAACCTAAGCAGAATCAGGCCTAATTAATACTTAGATGGGAGATTGCTATCTAATTATCTACTAGACAATGACAAATCATTTTTGTACTTTTGCCAAGAAAATTGTTTGGAAATGTTCAAGTACTCCCAGAATGCAAGTTCAATTTGAAGATATGCTGGCTACAACCCATTCAGTATCAAATGGTACTGAAATTTAAACAGAAGCAACCAAGCCATATTTTATAACTACTATTCAGTGGAGATCTAACAATGCTCCTTCATAAAAACTGAGACTGGATTTTGTCCCAGGATCCAGTCTGATGAATATGATTACAAATGTATTATTATTCATTTATTTTATGCAAAAATTACTTTTTAAAAATATAGTTTCTAAAGTGGAAATCCCAAGATATATATAATGCATTGTAATTTGTGGCTTTCATTGAGACCTCTATATGGCAGAAGATATGCACATCCAACATCTCCAAATATATGGAGTTTTCAATTAATTTCAGTGCTAGAAGGGCAGAAAACAAAAGGAAAAAAGAAATTTGTCATATTGTTACAAATTATAAAATAGATAATGCTGGAACAAGCAGCAGAACTTCATATCCTCTTAAAATCGTATTCCTCACACAAAAAGCATATATTAAATCATACATCATTCAATACATAGCCTTTTTCATTTAATATGGTTCTATTTCTAAAAAACAAGTGAATTTCATGAACATTGAGCACAATAATACGTTTGCATAATTTAGAGAATAGTGAATTATCACAAATGAAGTAATCATAATTTTGGGATGTTTGAAATCATTTGCTGCCTAATCTACTGTTCATGATAAAGTAAATCTTGAAAAGCTGTGGAACAGATGTTAAAGATAGATTTCCATTCAAGGGAAAACATGAATGGAAAAAAACTAAATATCTTTGGGCAGATGGATGCTTCTTGTTTGGTCCTATTTTGTTGTCATTCAGTCTACTCAGCTTTCAATTCCCATTTTGTTAACAAGTAATTACACTTGAATTACTCAGTTCTTGTTCTGATAAAATACCAGAATCTGTACAAAATTTGAACTTGAATATTTATCTCTGATGGAAAATTTGACAAGAGCATAGTTGTCACTAGCAAAGTTGTAGTACTTTTAACCAGTATACACAGTTATCCTATTTTGCCAAATAAATCTCATATACTGTAGATGCATGGTTAGAAAGATTTCGAATCTGAAACGCCTTGAATTTTGAGTTAATGTGCTACTGTTTATTAAAATCTGAATTTTAAGAAATACTGTAATTCTACTTTAAAACATGTAATAAAGTATTTAGTTACATCTCTACTAAATTCTTTAAACATTTTTCACCATGCACACACTACAATATTATGAGGACAAATCTATTTCCAATCTGAAAAGCGAAAGCAAGGCCACAAGGGAGACATCTTGATCCTATTTCTTACTCATAATCGTTTCTTTTTAGCTTTTCTTTCACCCAAGCTTTCCTGGTTGACATATGCTACTGCATACCAGAAATAACTTTAAATATATGGGATGCTCAACCCATCCTCACAGTTGCAGGCCTGTTTTTGATATCTGGTCTACTTCTAAAAGGTACATTTGCAGACATGCAAATAAATATACCATAATGGAAAGCATTGTACTCAAAAGTTTTCTCTACTTTAGGTTAAACATTGTAACTTTCGAGTATTAAGTTACTTCTGATTTATAAATGTGAAAAAATAATAGTAGTATAATTTGCATACTCCTGTCATTATTTAATAAGCCACTCTACATTATTTCTATAAAAATCAAAAGTACCACATTATATAAAGAGACAAGATGAAACTGAAGTTCCTGTAAAAAGACATGATCCTAGATTCTAGAACCTAGAAATAATAACCTCACTGTGGTATTTTTCAGATTTTAAAATAATCACTTATTTTGCCAACGTTCCCTCCTTTTTTCCTCTAAAAGCTGATATGGCTCACGGTCTTGTTTTAATAGTTTTTTTTTCCCCAATGCCATATTTATTTCCTATTATCACCTTGGAGTTCATTCACAGATCGCTAGATTGTTAACCTGGCAAAATGGCTCAGAGCGGATTTTACACAATTAGATTTTACCTCTTCTACAACAATATGCTTTCTCAAATTGAAGTCATGGATGAAGGCTGGAGAAATTACATTAATCTTTAACCTAGTAGAAATGGAAAAATTATGAAAGCATTTGGTGACTGCAATATAGAAGTACATTGATGCATTTTAATCCTTACTTGTCACCATAAGGAGCTTTGGGGAGATATTATTTGGCTATTCCAACTAAATAATATGCCATTTCATAGTATTGCCTATCAATAATTAAATAATAGTGGATCTCATGTACAAATATTATAAGCAATAAGGAATAATTTGTACCAACATTTCCATCATATCCGATTGAATTAAAATAGTACTTTTCATTTGTTGATTAAAATCAAATGAATAGTAGACTGAATACTATTTAGATTGAGTTTTTATTTTCACATAGCAAACTTGGTATTCAACAACTTTAGTCACCATAAATTTTAACTAGATTCAAAAGCAATTTACTTAATGAAATACAAAATGTCACTCAACTGTGTTTTAGTTAAACTACTAATGGTGGCTTGAAAGATGTTGGAGATGTTTGGTAAATGCATGCTCTTCCTCACCATTCATCTGTTACACCATTCATCTGTTCTGCTTGGGAGAGGCAGAAACTTGTGGTAGACCCATGTTTGGCACATACAAGGTTCAATCCTGTATTAGGTCAGGCCTGTCAAACTAGCAGCCCACAGGCCGGATGTGTCACGTGCAGGTCATGCCCACATGGGCTCCGCAAAGGCAAAAACCGTCATGATACGTCACGTGACCTGATCGGATTTGACACACATATAGATTGTGTTGATGTAGATGGTTATTTCATCAATGGTAATTACTCTTGTGATGTATTGTAATTTGCATAGTTTCTCTCTCTGCTCACACTATAGCGACTTCTCATAGCAAATTGCTCATCCTTAAGTTAGAGTACAAAAGTTGCATGTATACAAAATATATAAATTCCATACGTAACTACGTAACTTGTTTTTAGTAACTGTGTTTATATTTCAGTACTGTGCAAATTCATTCAGTAAGTCCCTATGAGGTTCAACCAGACCTCATGAAAAAAACCCTACATTTTAATCAAGACTTTAAAACTATTGACATCATGCTCTTTAACGCTATCTATACAAGAAGCTGGACTTGCTGCAATTACATTGGAAACACTGAATGCTAAAAAAAGAGTTTTTGAAAAATCTATAAGCAAACATACAAGATTTTATAGTCATGCTCTGTCTAATTTTACTAGAACAGCTCAGTCTGAAGCAAAGTTCAATAAATATTCTATATTCTGTGTTGTGTATGTGTATATATATATATATATATATATGTATGTCTATGAATATGTGTGTGTTTGTTTGTGTGTGTGTGTGTATGCATGCTATTAGTATATATCCGCTGCCATTAGTATAAAACAGGGGTGTCCAACCTTTCACCTTCCCTGGGCCACATTAGAAGATGAAAATTTGGTTTGGGCCGCACATAAAATAAAATAACAGTAACGATATCTGATCATCCAAAAAACCATAGAAAACAGAGTTAACATATTAAATTTATTTGGAAATGAAGTTAGTGAGATATTTTTATTATTTATTATTAATTATTTATTAAAATTATTTTTTATCACAGTTTTTTTATCACGGTTTATTTTCCGGCCAAATTTTGTGGGGGTGGAGTGGGAGGGGGGGAGAAAGCTCGCCTGCCTCGCGCCTACCTCTCCTTCTGCAAATGGCCCAGCTGGATGAGGCAGGACTGGAAGGCAGAAGTGGCGGCGGCGGGGACAGAAGTGGCGGCTGCAGCAGTGGCGGCGGGGGCAGAAGCGGCGGTGGGGGCAGAAGTGGCGTCGGCGGTGGGGGCAGAAGTGGCAGGGGCAGAAGCAGCAGGGGCGGTGGGGGCAGAAGCAGTGGCGGTGGAGGGGGCAGAAGCAGCGGCGGTGGGGGCAGAAGCAGCAGCGGCGGGGGCAGAAGCAGCAGCAGTGGCGGGGGCAGAAGCAGCAGCGGCAGCAGGGGCAGAAGCAGCGGCAGCAGGGGCAGAAGCAGCAGCGGCGGCGGGAACAGAAGCAGCAGTGGCGGGGCAGTGGCGGCAACAGGAGGTGGCGCTCTGACGGCACCTGCCTTTTCTGTTGCTGCTTGGCATGGCGCTCGCCTCGCCCTGCCTCGCACCTGCCTCTCCTCCTCTCTGGCTCTGGCACGAAGGTTGGGGTGGGCATTGGGCCGCATTATGAGGCAACCTGGGCCGCATGCAGCCTGTGGGCCGCGGGTTGGACAAGCCTGGTATAAAACAACCTATTTGAGATGTATTGGAATAGTCAGATTACATTAAGCCTTGCTAAGGATGCTAACTTTACACTCATATTAGATGGACAAGTATCTTCAATTCATACAAATGCACAAAACTTTTAATTGATAGGTGGTTCTATTATCTTATTGTTTCTTTTCCCTGACAATGAATTGCTGTACCAAACTCTGTTTTCCTACTGTAAAGGTCAAACATCATAATAAAGATATTTTGATTTGATTTGTTTTTATTATCTAAAACAGTGGTAGTCAACCTGGTCCCTACCGCCCACTAGTGGGCATTCCAGCTTTCATGGTGGGCGGTAGGGTCCCCTACTTTATAAATCACCATTACTGTGGAACCGGTGGGCAGTTAGAGAAAATTTTACTACTAACAGAGATACAAAAGTGGGCGGTAGGTATAAAAAGGTTGACTACCCCTGATCTAAAACATTGTATGACTTTTTTAGCTCTGTAACAAAAGTGCAGAAGTACTAGATCACATGTCGTTCTCTTTCCCTTTGTTTACTTATGGAAGGTTCGAACAGAATTCCAGAAAAGCTGGGAACGATGGAGATTGGAACACTTTTATGTCCAGAGAGACAACAGTATGAAGCCACTTAAGTATCCAGCCAACAGCATTAGCAGTGGAGGTACAGTTGGAACCACTGTCTATGCTGCTACTTGTCAAGTTACTACATTCAACTAAGATGCAGAAGAAATGGCCCCTCTGACCAGAACTGTAGGAGATAAAACTGAACACCCAGCCAGATTTTGAGTCTTTAGAAGACTTGACCTTCCGCTGTTTATTGCTGCAGGCAGCTGAATAAGCTTTTAAAATAAAGCAGATGGCTAATATAATCAATGCATTTGAGGGTAGAAGTCACCTCCAAAGTAAGTTTAAAGAGTTTTTCCTCAATTAAAACTAGAAGCCTTCAGGTGTCCAAAGTCTAAACCCTGTATTGATGCAGTTACAAAGCATTAGGTTAATAACCTATTAGAACAGGTAGACAATTTGAAGCATTGATTAAATGATAAGAATGCAGCTGATTAATGCAGATAAGAAAGATCAGTGTTTGAGAAAGGTAAGGCTATCCACTCTCATGCTTAGAAAAAAGCAGTTATAGTCTGCATCTTCATAGACATTTCAGAGCCTTTCTTCTATTAAATTGGTAGCTTTATTAAGTGAAAAGTAGCCATTTTGAGCTCAATCCAGAAAGTTTCTCTACATAGCAAATCTCTTTCTCTTTTGTAGAGAAATATCCTCTACAATATTTTGGCTGTAATAAGCTTTTCACAAAAGAGCATGCCCTTTATAGTTAAAAAATATGGGCCAGTGCTTTTTGTCATTAATGCTAATAAAAACATTCTTTGCAATCCTGAGACAGTAAAGTTTAACTTAAAAAAAAAAATGAAATGCAAGTCTAGTAAATGCTTTTTTTTTTTACAATAACTAGCTCCAAAGGCATTGGGAATGTTCACTTTCTTGCTACGTGGAAAGAACTGAACAATCTAACGTGTTCAAATATCAGAAGTATTGGATATAATACGTTGCTTTTTGTTGCACAGTTTCAGACTTGTTAGCTTTTTTTGGGGGGGGGGGGTGAAGAAATACTTGGCCTCTAGTATATCCTAGCCTTTTATGCCTTAGGTCTTGCATAGTCCTTCACTGCTTCAGAAAGCTGCATAAGTGCTAGTATGAACCAAAGTAATTAGTAGCTTATTGTCGTGTATGTATTTTTAAGTGGATTAGGTTTCTGTTCCTGTAAGAATAGAGACAGAAATGCTATATTTTATTATGCTGAAACCTAGAAGGCAAACATGTGAAAACTGCCTCTGTGCTCAGAAGTCTTGGTCATAAACATTCAGCACATTATATGTGACCAGAGCATTTTTTTCTGTCTTCTGGAAACACAATTTGAGTGAGTTGATTTTGGAGTTAAAATTTCAGCACTTTGGTCAGCTCACAATCCAACTGAAGAGATGGCTGGCGATCATGAATCTTCAGAATCTTAGTAATTAAGTGAACTCCTCAGTTGGAATGAATTAAAACTATATAAATTCCATATTCTGCTATTAGTAAATCCATTTCAAGGTGTCAATCATTCCTAAAACATTCATCAGAATAAAAAGATGGGTACTGGTGCTAATTTGAAAAACAGTTCAAAACTGAATTTATTTTGTGCCAATGTTATTTTATTTATTTTTTTAAAGTCAGAAAATAGCTGTTATTGAATTAAAGCAGAATATGGCAATAGTAATGTTTGTAGTCATCTGATCCTGGATTTCTTAAAGGTTAATGGATCATTATACATGTTTCAACCATTGTAGTGTATAACTGGGTATGAACAGGTTATTGTTTTCAAATCTATATATAATTTATTGGAGATACACACACACACACACCACACACATACATACATACACACACATATATATGACAAACAAAACAAATATAAAACAAAAGAACAATATTGCAATTTAAGAACAAGAAAAAAGCCATCATAGAATACATAAAGCTCAAAATCACTTTCATCAACTCAGTATAGCCATTATGCTGGCAGCACCTCACTCTTGTGTCCCCATGTCTGTTGGAAGAACTATTGCCTTCAATGCTTTGTTGTTACTTTAGTCCAATTGCACAACTGTAATTTCTAATTGCAAAACACTTCTCTGCAAATGCTATGTACAAGACATAAAAAAAACTTTTCCCATGTGACAGCTATGTTAAACTTCTGTTTAAACTTCCCTGTTCATGATTTATGTACTTACAAATAGATGAAGTCATTGGAACCTTTGTGTCCAATATAGCCTACTGTACTGACCACAGAAAATCTGCCTTCAAAACATGAAGTCAGGCAGAATCTAAAGTTCCTTTGGCTTCAAAGGAATGGAGCTGTGACTCACTTTTAGGAGTAGGAACAGTAGATTCTACCAAACTCTTTGGAAAGTCATCACTTCAAACACTGCAGCAGTGATTGATTCAAATTTACAATGCGGCCCTATGATTGTCTGTTCAAGGATAAGAATTTTTAAGGTTTGTTCCCAAGTAAAAAGAAATTGAAGTGTAATTTTCTGTTATCGGTGGATAACGGATAACTGATTAGCCACTGACTTTTTATAATTCATGGACCTTAAAAATTGTATTTGCATGTTTTTCTCCAATTACACTTTGTATAGTTCACTTCATTATACTCATTGTCAGAGATTTATGGGTAGATATAATTGCTATTTAAAACTATTATTTGTGCATTTTTGACAGATTTTGAACGAGACTTTGGGGTGAAAGACTTGACTCAGTCTTATAAGTCACTATGTTTGTAGAGAAGGAGTACAATGTCACAATGCTTCTATAAAGTCAGCTACAAGCTGTGATATATAATGTAGTCTGGGTTTACCATCCAAGATAAGCTGGTCATATTACATTGAACATTCATCCTGTTCTAGGCAAGTAATTTGTTCTGTGACAGTCCTAGATAACTACCTAAATAAGTTTTATGATTAGCTGAAGTTAATTATTATAAAGCATCTCTTCTCTATGTATTCATTGGTAATCTACTTAAATAATGCCTTCTCATAAGTAAAATTGTGCTGTAAATGAACTCAGTTATTTGTTTCCTCCTAAAGAAATCCTGTTAAATTGCTATGGGATTTAATGGCTATAATAGCACTATTAGAAAAATGGAGATTGTAGAAATGCAGAAAAAGGTCCTGTCATATAATTCCTAATTAATACACCAGATCTTAATATTATGGATATGTAAGATCCTAATTAGTTCAAACTACAAAAGAGATGTGGAAAATAGCTTAATATTTTCAGAAATATTTATCAATAGGGGAATCTCCAAAAAACTTTAATTTTATCATTTAAAGTGAGTTTTAAAATGCATTGATAGTTGAAAATTAGTTTTCTAAGACTTTTGGGGAGTAAAACTATTTTTTTAATTTTGTGCCTCAAATATTTTTCCATCAGTTCAAGGGTATATCATTTTCTTCTCCAATTTCAGTAGCAGTAACCCTGTGAGGTAGGTTGGGCTGAGGCAAAATTGACTTAATGTCTCCTGGTGAGCTTCTAAAACTGAGGATGGACATGAATCTCTATCTTCCTGATCTGGGGTTGACACTAGCTCAGTACCTTGACTATTATGTCACAGTGATTTAAAAAATTCACAAAGCGATTTTATATTCTTCAGTGACACTTATAGACAAGCACAATGTCTATGAGATTCTCAGTCATCCAGAAAGTCCAGGTGCCTCTTGCAAAAGCACCTTTGAGACATTATAGGGGAGCGGTATGGTGACCTAGTGATGAAGACTCTCGCTCCCACTTGGAAGGTTGAGAGTTCAATCCTAGGTAGCAGCAAATATTTATCTACTAGAGTGCGAAGAAAAAATATCTGCTACAAACACTGTGTGCCATTAGAAAACTTCCCCAAATTAAGGAATTATAGGATTGTAAAAAGATTTCTTTTAATGATATTTACAGTCTTTGTTTAACCATTCAAAATTACACCTATGCTGAATAAGACTTAAGACTGGTCATCCTAGATACAGCTACCACAGCATCAACAGATAATCAGAGTTGGAAGGGACCTTGTAGATCATCTAGTCCAACCCCCGGCCCAAGCGGGACACCCTCCACAATTTCTGACAAATGGTAGTCCAATCTCTTCTTGAAAGTCTCAAGTGATGGTGCTCCCACCACTTCCGAGGGCAAGCTGTTCTATTAGTTGATTGTTGTCACTGTCAGAAAGTTTCTCCTTATTTCCAGGTTAAATCTCTCCTTGTTCAGTTTCCATCCATTATTCCTTGTCTGGCCTACAGGTGCTTTAGAAAATAGCTTGACACCTCCCTCCCTCTGGCAGCCCCTCAAATATTGGAAGACTGCTATCATGTCTCCCCTGGTCCTTTTCTTCACTAGACTAGCCAAGCCCAGTTCCTGCAACCATTCATTGTATGTTTTAGCCCCCTAATCACCCTGGTTGCTCTTCTCTGTACTTTTTCAAGAATCTCAACATCTTTTTTATAATGTGGTGAACAAAACTAGGTGTGGTCGTACTAAGGCTTTATAGAGTGGTATTAGTACTTCCCTTGATCTTGATTGTATCCCTCTGTTAATGCAACTTAGGATTGCATTAGCTTTTTTGGCAGCTGCTGCACACTGCTGGCTCGTATTTAGCTGGTTGTTCACTAAGACTCCAAGATCCCTCTCACAGTTACTGCTATTGAGCCTGGTTTCACCCAGTCTATATGTGTACTTTTGGTTTTTCTTGCCTAAGTGTAGGACTTTACTTTTCTCTACATTGAATTTCATTTTGTTAGATATGGCCCAGTGTTCTAGTCTGTCAAGATCCATCTGGATCTTGAGACTATCTTCTTGGGTGTTAGCTATTCCTGCCAGCTTAGTATCATCTGCAAATTTGGTAAGTTCCCCTTCTATTCCCTTATCTAAGTTGTTAATGAAGATATTGAAGAGTACTGGGCCTAAGATGGAACTTTGTGGCACCCCACTGCTTACTTCCCTCCATGTAGACTTAGACCCATTAAGGACTACTCGTTGAGTACGGTTTGCCAGCCAGTTGTAAGTCCATCTAGTGGTGGTGCTCTCTATTCCACTTTTTTCTAGCTTACTAAGAAGTAGGTTGTGGTCTACTTTGTCAAATGCCTTGCTGAAATCTAAATATATTATGTCCACAATATTTTTCTGGTCTACTAATTTAGTCACTGTGTTGAAGAATGAAATAAGGTTGGTTTGGCATGATCTGTTCTTAACAAACCTGTGCTGACTGCTAGTTATTAGTTTACTTGTTTCTAGATGTTCCCAGGTATCGATGTTAGGCTGATTGGTCTATAGTTTCCTGGGTCTGTTTTTTTTCCCTTTTTTGAAGATGGGAACCACATCAGCTCTTTTCCAGTCCTCTGGTAGTTCCCCGGTGCTTCAGGATTTTTGAAAGATATGGTGCAGTGGTTCTGAAATGACCTCTGCCAGCTCCTTTAAAATTCTGGGATGTAATCCATCAGGCCCCAGTGATTTGTTTTCATCATCACCCCGCACATATTCCCAACCCATGTTGCAATTCTGTGCATCCTCCACAACTTGTACAGCACCTCTTGTGCATCCTTCCTAATCCTTCCACACCTTTTTTGCCCTCCCTGACCTACACAGCACCTCTTGTGCACCTCCCCACCCAGCAGCATTCACTAACCTGTCTGCTGGTCCTGGACTTGCAACTTCCTGCTGGATTCCCCACTGAATTTCTCCCTGCAAGCTTCCCAGAAGCAAAGTAAATAGGGAAGCCACAGGAATCAGAGGTGGTATTCAGCAGGTTCTGACCAGTTCTGGGGAACCAGTAGTGGAAATTTTGAGTAGTTCGGAGAACCGGTGGTAACCTTCCCCCAGGAGTGGGGAGGGAATGTGTTAGCGTTCCACCCAATGACTCCGAGACAGACATCTCTTGAAGGTTCCTTCTATTTTGGATAGTAAACTGGCACAACTGTGGAATCCAGAATCTGAAAGTTCTTACAATAAGTAAAAACTACAAAATCCATCCCCTGCACCCATCATCACATCAAATGCCCCAATCACCATCCGTCCCAGCTTAAAACTTCTTCTCCGTTATGCGCAACACAACCTGACCTTGAATTAGAAAAAGAATGTTATGTCTAACTAGATATACTCCAATATATTTCCCCCTCCCATGTTCCCAGGCTGAGATGTGGCAGCGTAAGAGCATCTGATCTCAATATGGCTTCCAAAGCTGACAGAATGGAGATCTAACAGTATCTAACACCCACCAAACTATGCCATGCCCACCAAGCCATGCCATGCCCACCAAGCCACGCCCACAGAACCGGTAGTAAAAAAATTTGAATCCCACCACGGACAGGAATGTTAAGGAAGGAAGGTTTTCTGACACTTCCTGCCAGTTTCCCAGAAAATCAGTGGGGAAGCCAACAAGAAGTTGGAAGTCATTCCACTTCTTTTTTGCCTGCTAGTATTAATCTGTTTCTCTGATTCAGTAATTCACCCCATTCGTAAGAGGTCTGTAAAGGGGGCGTGCGTAAGCGCACCAGTAAGACAGTAGGTCCTTGTCTTAATGTCCCCATTTATCTGTATTTACTTCATTTGTTCATGTTTGTTCATACTTATACCTATCTTATACATGTTTGACAAACAAACAAATAAAAATATATTTGAAATGATGACCAAAGGGGATTACAGGTTGCCTAGTACCCTCTAAAGCAGCATAATGCGGCTAGCAACTCTTCCAAGAATTTGATTTAGCTATGGGAATGGGGTGGGGGGGTGTTTGATGGTGGCAAGGGTTTCTTTTATTTTTCCTAGGAAGCTGTAGAAATATTGGGAAATAAGATATATGTTTGGGATTGCAAGCAATCTATTTAAAATATTCCTCACCAGATTAGCATAGATGGGTATAAGAAAGAGAATATATACATCAACCTGTATCTGAGATGTCTTTGTTTCAGAATCTGTACTATATTGTATGAGTGGTCATTATATGCATTGAACAGTTAAAAGCACCAGCAACCTCTTTACTCACTGTGATTCTGTTTCAAGGTATACGGATAGTAATGTTGCATTTCACAGTTATACATACAAATAGTGCAATTTCTGAGATATGGAACTAAGTACTTGCTTGTATTGCAGATCGATTAACAGATAAATTAAGGAGTAATAAAAAGTGAATGCCTTGTTTCTATTAGTGCTCTAACTCATGTTAGGAAGTGTTCAATATTGCATGTACTTTAAAATTTTAAAAAATGCTTATAAAATATTCTGAAAACTTAGTCCCATTCAAATGTGTTCTGTCTGTGTCTCTTTTCCTTGGGAGGGAGGGGGGGCTTTGTACTTGAGACTTCATGCTATCCATATGACTGCTTTCAGCTAAGCCGTATAAAAATCATTTTTAAAAAAAGATGAATAAATTAATGTGTAAAACATCAAGCCTCAAATCCAGTTAATGAGTTAAGTAAATGGTTTGAATAAATGTCCAAAAATTTAGAATTAGTAATTTTATGCTATGAGGTTGGCAGGGTTAACTTTACATGTTTTAGTAAAATTTCAGAAGCCAGGTAATCAGCAATACTATTATGCTTCCTGCCATACCCTATTTAATTCTGTTTCCCTTATTTATTTATTTTTACTCATTAGAACAGAAGTTAGTATCCATTACTCACAAATGCTGCTAAACAAAGCTCCCTGTGCTTTTCAAGATGGCCCACCTCTCTAAAATTAAACATAATTTTAGTCTACTTAGCTGTCATCTTGCTTTGTTATTGCTTTGTTTTTAACAAAATATAATTCCTCTTCTGTAGTTTCAAGAGAAATACATATAATCCAGTATAATTATTTAGAAGCATTAGTAATTCAACAAGAAAATTAAACAATATCCTAAACCTGCAATTTTAATGCCAGATTATAATTTTGGTCACTGAATATTAGAAGTGGATGATCCATATTTATCCAATTCATCTGAATTTGAATAATTGTTTCATAGGATTACATTTAAATTTGTGTAAATCAGGTCTCAATCCAGTGATTTAAATTGTAGTACTACTGCAGCAACTTGTATGCAGTAATTAATTCTCTGGCTTTCCATAAGCAAACCCTGACATATAGATATTGTTCTGGTTTACAAACAATAGAATACTGCTACATCTCATTTGCTTCATCAAATGTAATATTTTCTTAAGTTTTTCTGAAGTATCTTGTGATACTTATAGGTTATTTAAGCTTTTAACATTAATATGGTGACATTATCTAAAGTTTGACCTGAAATGTCAGTTATACCAATGAAAAGAATTACATATGCTCTTTTACGAGAATTTTCTTCTGTTTATTTTTATTGCTATAAATTAAATAAGTAAATTATGGAAGAATATTTTGAGTGGTTTGTTAAAAATAGAATATTCAACTCAAAATGTTCAAATCCAATAACATTAATGAATTCTAAATCAAACCTGTAAATCCACCCGAAATATAAACCTAAGTATTATGTCATGCAAACCTTTCCATAGATAACAGGTCCGATTATTCTTCCTCTTAACATTGGATTTATATTTAAAAAGGAGCTTAGCAAGCAGAAATAAAATGTAGTTTTCCTGAAGAGCTATTGTTCGACAAAAGAAAACTGCTATTTCAGACTGATTTTGTTGCTTTTGTTCTCATCAGAAAAAAGCAGGTACTGTGCTATCCAATTTAATACACTAAGTGGAAAGTTACTATGGATACTCAATACAGTCATCATGGACTTCAGAAAATGATTAATTTCTCGATCCAATTGACTAATTTGCATTAGGAAATCATATTTATGCTACCAAGAATTTTTGAAGAACTCAAATAAGAAATATGCTCTAATATGGATGAAAGAATGGCTTCTGTTTTCAGAAGACTGAAAAGGGAATCAAAAGCAGTCATTTCTTAAAGCAATCAAGTACTTTAACATTTAATCTGAGTAAACTGAGGCAAAATCGGTTTTAAATTATCAAGCAAATAGAAGTATTATTCTGCTTATAAGATAAAATAAGGAACTTATATAAATGCAATAAAATTATACAAATGACCAAGGAACCAGGAAAAAAACAATTTAGGTCTGCAGTGCAATTCATAGAATGGAAGAGAGATTGGGAAACAAGGAAACACTTCACACACTACACAATCAAACAACAGAATCTGTGACACAAGGGATGAGTGAATGAATAAACTGAGGTGACTGAACAAATTTGGAACAAGCAGTGAAATGGCTACACTGCCACCACCTGTATTTGATTTGATTTGACTGGACTATTATCCTGCCATTCTGCTTCAGTGAATACTGAAAGTAACCAATAAAATTGAAAACAGAAAAATTTAAATGTATAAATTAACACAGAATACTAAACTGGCATATAAAACCCTGGCAAAGCATATGTTTGTGTTTGATTCCTATTCTCAGGAGTTTAGACAATATGAAGAGAGAAGACATCTCTCTTCAAACTTTAAACTGTTTAGGATTTTATTGGTCAATCTTAGCACTAGTGAGCAACCGGTAACTAGTGTAGATTTTTTTTAGTATTACCATTGTATGACCCTGTACCTCACAGCAGATGGCAGCTTAAAGGCAATATGCCACTCAGTACGAGTTGTAGGAGAAATATAAGAAAGGTGCTATATTTGTCTTAAACATATGATTGGTCATTGTGGGAAAAGAATTCTAGCCTAATTAGGATTTTAAACTGAACAGCAAGGTTACTCATCTGTTTCCCAAGATTTATATTTACAAGTCTACAAAGAAAACTGGTGTATTTTATTACTAAGTATTTATCTAAATTAAGAGATGTTATAGTAGTTAAAGGCACGAGACTAAAAACCCAGATACCATGAGTTCAAATCCTGCCTTGGGTTTAAAAAAAACCAACTGGGTCACTTGGGCCATTCACATTCTCTCAACCTAACAAAGAAAGAAATGGCAAAACCACTTCTGAAATCTTGCCAAGAAAACTGCATGGCCTTATCCATATAGTCACCAGGAATCATGACAGATTCAAAGGCACAAACAAACAAATCCAAATTAGAGGTAGTTCTTGACAATGGTAATTGGGACCGGAAATTTTATCACCATGGTCCTTATGTGAGGCCATTTCCTGCCAGCTTCTCACAATCAGTGGGGAAGCCAGCAAGAATATGTAAGTCCCAGGCCAGCAAGCAGGTAAGTCTCTGCTACTAGGTGATGGAGAGAACAAGGAAGTTAGTAGAGAAGCCAGCAGGGAAGTTTGCAAATGGCAATCACAAGTTCATAGAGCACTGAGCAGCCAGTTGTGCCAGATCATGGTCACATGATCATGTGGTTGCTAGGATGGCTAGAACTCTGAGGACCAATTCATTCAGCACTGTCATAACTTTGATCAATGAACAAAGGGTCGTAGGTACAGGACTACCTATAAATGTATCCACATTTATTTGATATATTTAAGGCTTAAATTGGTATTGCATGAAAAGGATGCTCATACCACTTTCAAAAAGAATGCCTTTAGAATTGGAAATCTCAATAGCCTTGGAGAAAAAAGTTTGGTCACGTATAGATACTGATTGGAATGATAATATTAAATGTCAGTACTACACACTTGGTCTTGGTTAAACTTGCTCAATTTCAAAAAAATCTTACCATATTAATCTAGGATGTATGAAAATTATACACAATATCCTATCAATGAGACAAATACAAATGAAGAATTTCTATATAGAGCTGCTACTCTATTGCAGAAAAGCTCAATTGTTGTCAAATAAAGCCAACATTCAGATTAAATCAGAAACCAGTTTCCTTTGTAAAGGTCAAAATGTAAAATATTCTTGTCACATCCTACTTATTTCAAAAGATACCATAATTAGATGCAAAACACTAATATAAATGTGAAGTAAACCTTCTGAAATCATGGGGTTTCATAATTTCATAATTTGTGAACTAGCCTGGATTAAAACCTCTTGTTCAAAGTCAAAGAAAGTGTGTTGAATAATCTGTTTTGTGAGAAAATGGAGCAGGCAACATTTTTGAGATTTTTGAGTTCTTCAATATCCTAACAATTCTAGGTATCCTATTATTTCCAAACCTGCTTCTCATTAGAAACATTCAAGCATCTATTTGGATAAGCTTTTCTTCATTTTATTTGTCTATCCAGGTGATCAAAAAGTTTAACAATGGATGTTTGACTAAGTCTTTACATAGTCTCCTTTCTCTTAACACTACAAAAACAGAATTCACATCTTCAATGTTTTTTAAAAATAAAAAAATATCACAATACATTGAACAGACAAATTATTCTCTGTAATTACACGGGCAGGTTAGGCATACAATAATGAGTTTTAGTCCTATTTATCTCTCAATTAAAGGCCGATACTGTAATTCCCTCTCAAACTGTTCTGCTGTGAGAGTTCCTTGGATAGCCTCACAGCCAGGATTAAATACAGAATATGCACTTTTTTCTCCAGGCTGCCTTTCCCTAGGACCACGAGTTCCTACATAGATCCAATAAAACATAGACAGGACAAAATATGGCAAACCAAACTCCAGTTCCACAAACAGTCCAAGTAGGACCAACCAGAGAAGAAACTTGAGAAAGAGTTCATTCTTTAGTACATAATGGATCCACCATGGCAGAGGAGAAGCAATGATTTGGGCTTCATGGTTTTCTGATCTTTTACCAGATTCCTAGGAAATAAAATAAAAATAACAGGATTGTACATTTGGATTGTCGTGACCTTGCAGAAAAGCATAATAAAAACATACCTGCAACTTTCTCAGTTTTTGCCCTTGCTTTTAATTCTTTCATTCTTCCTTCAAATAATTGTTTTCCAATGGACCTTACTTCGGTTTCTATACAATCAAGCCATTTCATAATATTGTTTTTCTACTGGTCACTCAATTTTATATTCTAAAGTTGTTTTGCTAGATCTTCCAAGATGCATGTCTTCCATATGCCATCATCAGCTACCAGATGAGCAAACAACTACTGACCTCTACTGCCCATCAAGCCATTCAGTTCTTTATATAATATTTTTAGGAATAAACCAAGTTACCAGCCTTAAACACACCTAACATCATTTCTTGCTCATTGATAGCTATTACTTAGCAATGAACTTTAGTTGTGTTCACTAACACCAAGCATTGGAAGCACATTATATTATGCTACACAGGCCCTGCACTGGCTACCAATAAGCCTGTGGAATACTACTTAAAATGCTGGCTTCAACCTATAAAGCCCTCCATGGTTACTTTCAGGACTGCATTCTCCAAATAAAATCACCCCAACCTGTATTTGGGGGCGTACAGAATCCCTTTCATTTTCTCCAAGAATTCCCACAAGCCCTATCACTGGAAAAGTACTAGTAAGATTTTGTTCCATTGCTAGCCACAGTTGTTGGTTGGTTGGCTACTGTCATTCAAGTTTGATAGGTATATTCTGTGCTGTTAGGCCTTTGCAATGAATTCTGTAAAGGGATGGCTTGGATTTTTCTTTTCTTGAAAAAAATTAACAAAATAAGGGCTTTGGTGTTCTCATAGCATAGTTGCGTGGGTGGATTTTAATTCTACCCTATGCAAAACTGGTTCCACTTTTAACCCCAGGAGTTGAGTTGGCTGGGCTAACTGACCCCTTTTTGGTGTTCCCATGATACACTGATCACTTCACTGACGCAATTTTAATATGTTGGAGGAACAAGGTCAATGCATGGAATTAAACAAAAGTAAGGCCCCTCCTAATATTTATTTATTCCATACAAGTGAGTGCATGCTACTGGAAAATAGTCACGTTCGTTTTTCTGAAACAGCACTTATAAAAAAAAAATATCCTGAGAACTTCTTAAAACTGCACCATGGCTACAGTGTTAAATTGAATTACTACTTTCTCCTACAACTCTGAGATTAAAACCTTTTCTTCCATGGCAGAATAAATATTAAATTCAGCCTCGTTTTACAGGAAGTACTGGAGCTTAGCTAGATTACCAAGAAATACCATTTTCATTAGTAACATTTCATTAGAAATATATAGTACTACCATTAATTAATAACATTTCATTATAAGGAAATATATTGTATTATCATTATAGTATAATGAAAACAACAAACCTTAGATCTGATTCTTACATGCCTGTTCAATAACCATGGATTATTTAAATGGCCATGAGCTCTTTTGTCAAACAATGGTTACCTAATCAAGTACAAGGCTAAATTTTTATTTCTAACTATTCAGCATCCTTTCAGCCACAATATTATGTAGTAGACTATCAGTGCCTATAAGCCTTTCACAACTTTTGATTAAAAATTTTACTAGCTTGCTTTCCAAGAAATTATCACCTGCAGACTGACAGCATGATGCATGATGCCATTTTGAACACATGTCATTTTTTGTATAATAGTTTGGCTGCTTTGGAACCTAACATCTATAAAAACTATATAAAACCAGATCATCTAAGACAGGGCTGAAAAAGAAACAAAATCAAAAGATGTTAGCAGAAGAACAGAGGAGACTGGAATTAGAATTACAGAAAGAACCAAACAAGAAGATTCTAAAAAAACCAAACGGACTTAATAAAACATAAATCTATTTAGATAAAGAATTGGCACAAAAAATCAAAAACGCTAAACAGAACTTTTTTGAAAACACAAATAAGTCAGGAAGATGGTTGGCATATAAATTGAAAACAGAGAAAGAGAAGAAATTGATACATAGGCTGGTAGATGAGAAAGGAACTTTATGCTACCAAAATGAGAATAAAAAATAATGATTCCAGATTATTATGAAAAGCTGTATGAGCAAGAAAAAGTTTCAGAAGAGAAAATCAAAGAATATTTGGAAAAAGCAGAACTAACTAAAGTATAAGAAAAAGTAAAAGCTATGTTAAATGAATGAATATCAATGATGGAATTGTCAGAAGTGATCAAGAGACAAAAGAATAATAAAATGCCAGAACCAGATGGGCTGCCAGCTGAACTTTAAAATGTTTACAAGATACTTTAGGCCCATCAATGTTGGAAGTCTCTAATGAAGTATTAATTGATGCGAAGGTATCAAATTCGTGCATTGACGCAAGTATTACGTTGATTCCAAGAGAAGACTCAGATTTAATCTAGATAAAAAACTATAGGCCCATATCTTTACTTAACACTGACTATAAAATATATGCTTCAATAATGGCAGGGAGACTAAAAAGGTTCCTAAATGAATTTATACATTTAGATCAAAATGGCTTCTTGCCTAAGAGACAGATTAAAAATAACATGAGAATGATTTTAAATACATTGGAACATTATGAGCACACCTCATAATACAAAGGATGTTGATCTTCTTAGATGCACAGAAAGCATTTGATAACGTAAATCAGCAATTTATGTTGTTACAATTAAAATCTATGGATTTTGGTGAGAAATTTATGAACATGATAAAGGCAATATACCATAAACAAATGGCAAAGGTGATGGTAAATGGGAGATACGACAGATAATTTTAATATAAAGAAAGGCACAAGACAAGGATGCCCACTATCTCCTTTACTATTCATATTGACGTTGGAAATGCTAAATAGAAATATTAGGCAAGGTATAGAAATAAAAGGTATGGAAATAAAAAAAGAACAATATAAACTACAGGCATTTGCAGATGATTTGGTCTTTATCTTGGAAGACCTACAAGAAAATGGACTTAACTAATTAGGAAAATAGAATATGGTGAAGTTGTAGGACTGAAAATAAATAAAGAAAAAAACAAAGTAATACTTAAAAATGTTACAGATATACAGAAAAAAGAACAAGGAAAATAGGTATACAGATAGTCAAGAAAGTTAAATATTTAAGAATCCAACTAACGGCAAGATGTGTAATGATTAAGGAAGATAATTATTATAAATTGGTGCAATGAATTAAAATGGATTTGGAGAAGTGGAAAAATCTACAACTATCATTGATGGGAAGAGTAGCCACCATAAAAATGAATATCTTGCCAAGATTACTATATTTATTTGAAACAATACCAATAAAAGTGGGGAAAAATATTTTGAAGAATTAAATAAAACAATATTAAAATATATTTGGCAAGGGAAAAAAGCAAGGATAAACTTGAAAATGTTGCAAGATTCTAAAAACACAGCTGGTTTTGGGCTACCAGATTGGGAATTGTACTATCAGGCTTCAACATTTACTTGGGTAAAAGAATGGATTGAATTTAGGAAGAAAAGGCTACTGACCTTGGAGGGACATGAACTTGAACTAGGTTACCATGCTTTTTATGGCATAGAAAAAAACAAAATACATAGTTATTTCCAAAGACACTATGTTAGGAATGCATTATTATTACTATGGGAAACTTATTTCCCAAAAACAAAGAAAGGGCTGTCAAACTCTCAGTCCACAGGTCGGATGTGTCACGTGCTGGCCACACCCATGCCCGGTTTAGTGAAGGGGAAAAAAGTCCCAATACGTCACATGACAATGCTGTGACACCGTGAGTTTGACACCCCTGATCTAAGATGTCTGGGCAAAAGGCCTCATAGCAGGTATTAGATCAGTTTCCCTTAAAAAACATGCAGGAACTATAGCCTGCAGCTGATAAGAATTACCTGTATTCAGTGCCAGAAATCCCAAGGAATTACAGTATGCAACCTAGCTGTTCTTGCAAGTATACATGGTCTCAATGCCTCTCTTTCTTACTATAACGACATACATTTAATAGCTAATATAATGAATGAAACATAGCTGCACCAAAAAGATTCACTTCTGACCAAGCTGCTAGGCCACAGGCAAATTATTAGCAATCAAGCCTAACCACCATCATAGAGACAGTGCGCTGTAGATGTAGTCCCAACAAAAATGCAAAAGGGAAGAAGAGCATCAAACTCTTCTTGTATCTCTGGATGAAATGTAGAAGCCCCTTTGCAAGAAAAACAAGTATATGTTCATATGCTGAAGAATTAAAAATTGCAAGTTTTCATGACCTTTGACCTAGCAATTTCCAACTAGAGCTTTTGCAGGGACAATCATCAACATTTTTACTGGTATTGGAGAAATCCACAGAGCAAGACAATTCAAAGGTCGCAGTATCTGGTTGACCTCTACTAATCCTGAAAAAATAAGCAAGGTTAGACCTGGTTAGTTCTGAAGATTTTCTCCAGGAAATCAAAGATGACTGGAAACTGGGAAAAAAAGGCCCAGCAAAAATGTGTACTATTGTCTACCTGCCCATTATCAAGTACCTGTCACCAGAGCTGGTATTTAGCAGGTTCTGACCAGTTCTGGAGAACTGGTAGCGGAAATTTTGAATAGTTCAGAGAACCAGCAAATACCACCTCTGATTGGCCCCACCACCATCTATTCACTGCCTTCCAAGTCCCCGCTGATGGGCGAACAGAGCTGGAAAGCAGGTTAGTGGGGTGGGAAGGGAATGGGGATTTTGCAGTATCCTTCCCCTGCCACACCCACCAAGGCACGCCCACAGAACCGGTAGTAAAAAAAATTGAGTCCCACCACTGCCTGTCACCAAGCACGGGAGACTTTGAAGGCAGAACTAAGGTATTGGGGTTGGGTGGGGGGGTTAGACAAGTCAGGGCACTGTATTATTGGATTCCCTCCAGGAACAAAGTTCTAGCCTAGCATTATATGCAACATCGCTCCCTCAGGTAGACAGAAAAGGTGCAATAGTAGGACTAGCTCCGTGGCACGGAAGCAGCTGCTAAATGCGCCTGGCTCCGTTGCTCAAATCTGCGGGACTGGGGGGGGGAAACAGCAAAGGGAAAGTTGGCAACCACAATTCTCGGGGCGGAGAAACGCACCGACCTCCGTCGGAGCCTGGGCTGAGGCCCGGTCCCCGGTCTCGATGGAGGCAGGTTTTTCCGAAGCCGGCGCAACGCGAATCGGGGAGCTAGAAGCGCGGCGATTCGCCCGGAACTCGGCCAGCCTGTGCTCCATCCCGCCGAGGCAAGGAGATCAATTGCCGCTGCCTACAGCCGGCAGCGCCCTGTCGGCTTCGCCGTGGTTTACCGGCGGAAGAGGCGGGGAGAGCCAGGCGGGATGGCCGCCTTGGAGAGGACCGCCCCTGGGCGGCTCGGAGACTCAGCGGAGGGGAGAAAAGGGGACGGGCCGCCCGCCAGCTGCCTGTTGTTTGGCGAGCTGGACGCAGCTGTCCCGCCCGAGAGTGAAAGACGGAACGCTCGGAAGCGGCGGTGGGTTGCCCTTGGGAGAGTAGCTGGTTGCGCCTCTTCTGCCTCTCCGCTTGAATAGCAACGTGGCCGCCTTGCGACCGATCCCGGAGGGACGGCAAAGGAGTAAACTGCTGCTGGCCTTACTTTGCATTACTTGTGCGCTGTCCCTGGAGTTTATCTTTTTTAAGGTTACCCTAGTTCAGTTTTCAGAAAGAGGCCGGTCTGCACTGCAGAGATATTTTCCTCCCTCGAACTCTCTTGTAAATAACAGTAACAGCAAAACAAAGCCTCAGGGGATATATCTTCGAAGGAGCTCCTGTGCAGTAAATGTCAGTGTTGCACAAAAGTGTGTGCCTATTATAGAGTGAGTTAGAGATCCAGAGTAGTAAGGTAACGGTTAAGGCATCAGACTAGACCTGAATTCTAGTCTACCATAGGCACAAAGCTAGCCGGGTGGGCCAATCACTTTCTCTCAGTGACAAACCACTTTAGAAAAACCTTCCCAAAACACCCCTGCCAGGACTTGTCCAAGAAGTCACTAGGAATCAACACTCACCTGAAGGCACACAAAAAAGGAAGATAATGGATGGATTATTTGAACCGCAAAGTTTTTCCATCTTTAAATGTCTTTGATCCATATTTAAGGGTCCATATAGATTTAGAGACTTACCTTCATTGTCATTATCAGGTCCTATGCAGAGCACATTGGGCAGCAAGTATTTTCCAGTGGTTCTGATCATTTGTGGCATCTTCAACATTGTCCCAAGGGACATTAACAGATAACAGATAATCAGAGTGGGAAAGGACCTGTAGGTCGTCTAGTCTAATCCCCCGCCCAAGCGGGAGACCTTACACCATTTCTCTTCCAATCTCTCTCGCAGTCCAATCTCTTCTTGAAAGTCTCAAGTGATGACGCTCCCACAACTTCCGAGAGCAAGCTGTTCCATTGGTTGATTGTTCTCACTGTCAGAAAGTTTCTCCTTATTTCCAGGTTAATTCTCTCCTTGTTCAGTTTCTATCCATTATTCCTTGTCTGGCCTACAGGCACATTAGAAAATAGCTTGATCTCCTCCTCTCTGTGGCAGCCCCTCAAATATTGGAAGACTGCTCCCCTGGTCCTTCTCTTCACTAGACTAGCCAAGCCTAGTTCCTGTAACTGTTCTTCATATGCCTCAGTTTCCAGTCCCCTAAACATACTGGTTGCTCTTCTCTGTACTTTTTCTAGAGTCTCAACGTCTTTTTTATAATGTGATGACCAAAACTGGATGCAGTACGCTAGGCGTGGTCTTACTAGGGCTTTATAGAGTGGTATTAGTACCTCGCTTGATCTCGATTGTATCCCTCTGTTAATACAACTTAGGATTGCATTAGCTTTTTTGGCTGCTGCTGCACATGACTGGCTTATATTTAGCTGGTTGTCCACTAAGATTTCAAAATCCCTCTCACAGTTAGTGCTATTGAGCCCAGTCTATATGTGTACTTTTGGTTTTTCTTGCCTGTGTAGGACTTTACTTTTCTCTACATTGATTTCATTTTGCTAGATATGGCCCAGTGTTCTAGTCTGTCAAGATCCATCTGGATCTTGAGCCTATCTTCTTGGGTGTTAGCTATTCCTACCAGCTTAGTATCATCTGCAAATGTGGTAAGTTCCCCTTCGATTCCCTCATCTAAGTCATTAAAGAAGATATTGAAGATAATCTTAAGATCTTTTTTTAAGTGTTTCGCGCCAAATTTTCCAAGGTCAGTCACATTTCCTCTTTCCTTCAGGAAAGAGATTCTAGGAGGCTAGACTATTTATCCGATTGATATTGAAATAGTATTTCATGCTATGTTCTTAGTCTCTTTGCTTTGGAAGATACATTTGTTTTTCTTATGTCTATCTGTTTCCTTTTCTTTGTAAAATTAAAATAATTGGACAGAAGCTTAATTGAATTAATTGGAAAGTACATGGATATACTTCAGATGGGCAAAATAGGTAGAATTCAAGTGAGAAGATTTTGAAATAAGTAAAGTATACAATTCTGCATCTATTTGGGGCTATGCATCAAAAACTACCAAAAAGCTTGGGGTTTGACAAAATGCAACCATATGCAGGTGAAGAGCGCATCCTGTTGATCCCAGGGATACAATAAAGTCCCTGGTAGATCCAGGAGAAGCTCTTCTTGCCAGTGTCAAAGAGGCAGACATTAAAGCTGCTGAAGTTGGGACAGCTCCGAAACGGAAGAGAGCAAAAAGAGAGAGAGTGCCGGTTTGGTGAGAACTTTTTTTTAATTCTAAGATCTGAAAGGACACCCTAAGGAAAAGAAAGAACCTGTAAAAGTTTTGACAGAAGTGATTAAGTGGCGATTTTAAACAGGAATGTCAAAGTAATGTTTTTTTTTCCCTCATCGCTGGATTTTCTATATATGATCTTGTATTTTGAAACTGGACTGTTTTTTTCATTTATATCTATTTTTTTCTTCTCCTTTTTGATTTTGTAATATTTTAGGCTAGAGGCTCCCTTTAGTTATTTCATTTTTTAAAAAAATCTTTTTCTTTTTTTATTAATTCTTATTATATCCTGCTCGGAAAAGGAGGGGAAAGTGAGAGCAAAGAAACTTTGTAACACTTCCAACTAGAGGCTTGAAAATATTCTATTTCCCTGTGACCAGACAAAGCTGAGAAAGAAAGAACTGAGACTCTTTTTCAAGGACATCGCTATTTGATAAGATAGAGGGAAGAGCATGGGAGAGTATTATTGCAGGTGCTCTTCTGGGTTTCTATCAACAGCTGGAGTCTGGTGTCGAAATGTAGGGGGAAAAAGGTTGATAAGTTTTTGGAGAAGAGAGTTATAATAAGAGCCTTGGATAATTAAACAAAGTGCAGTGTGCCCTTTTTACTTTTTCTAAGTTGCGCTATCCGTCCTCATAAGCTTTATTGTATTTCTTTTTATCTTTTTTTTATTGTAATAACTATATGGGTTTTTGGCTTTGTTGGAGCTTGTCTTTGTTTTTCTTTTTTTCTCTGGAAGTCCAATCTCTACGTTTGCTTTTTATTTTAAAGGGAAAGCCTTAAAGCTTTTTTTTTCCTTTCCTGGTATTTTTGTTTTTTCATCTACCTTTCTGGTTTATTCTGGTTTCTGGTAAATTAGAGGTGCTAAACAGAACTACTTTGAAGATGCAAACAAACCAGGTAGTTGGTTAGCATACAAATTGAGAAAGGAGAAAGAATCAAGGAAAATATTGCAATTAATAGATGACCAAGGCCAAGTTTGCCATGGTAGCAAGGAGAAGAAGTAAATCATTCGAGACTTCTATGGGAAATTATATATGCAAGAGAATGTTGATGAGGAAAGAATTAAACAGTACTTACAGAATGCTAATTTACCTTAGATACCTAAAGAGACTGAAAAAATGTTAGAAAGCAATATAACGATGATGGAGTTAACTGAAGCACTCAAGAAGCAAAATAATGGAAAGGCACCAGGCCCAGATGGACTTCCGGCAGAATTTTACAAAACATTACAAGAATCGTTGAATCTTCCACTGCTAGAAGTTATAAATGAAGTTATGTTAAAGAAGAAGATACCTAAATCATGGTCAGAAGCCTATATTACACTTATTCCAAAAGAGGAAGCTGACCCATTACAAATTAAGAACTATAGACCCATTTCTCTACTAAATGCAGATTATAAAATCTTTGCTTCAATATTTGCAGAAAGACTTAAAAATATTTAAATAATTTTATCCATTCTGATCAAAATAGATTTCTGCCAAAGAGACAAATTAAAGACAATATGAGAGTAATCTTGGACAGCTTGGAATGCTATGAGGCACATCCTGAAAAACAAATGGCTCTGATATTTCTAAATGCACAGAAGGCATTTGATAATGTGAATTGGCGATTTATGTTATTATTGTTGGAACAGATGGATTTTGCTAGAAAATTTATTCAAGCAATAGAAGCTATATACTATAAGCAAAAGGCAAAGGTAATGATAGAGGGAGAACTGACAGACTCTATCAATATAAGAAAAGGAATAAGACAAGGGTGCCCACTATCACCTTTGTTGTTTGTATTAACTATGGAAGTGCTAAACAGAAATATTAGAGATGAAAAGAATATAAAAGGAATGAAAATCAAAAATGAAGAATTTAAGCTGTAAGCATTTGCGGATGATCTGGTTTTTATCTTAGAAGACCCTTTGGAAACAGCATCAAAATTGATAGAAAAGATAGAGACGTATGGAAAGGTGGCTGGTCTGAAAATAAATAAAGATAAGACAAAGATTTTGACAAAGAATATGCTATTAAGACAAAAGGAAGAACTGGCAGACCTATTGAAAATTCAGGTCACGAACAAGATTAAGTACTTGGGGATATATTTGACAGCAAGATGTAGTACATTAAAAGAGTTGTTGACATTAGAAGGACATGATTTGTTGTTGGGGTGGCATGCTTTTTTATGGTACAAAGGAACTAAAACACAGGGGTATTTTAGAAGACATTATATACAGGAATCTCTGTGGTTAAACTGGGAGAAGATTAAAACACAATGTTATTTGAAAATTCCAGTCTGGCTATCGACTATTGAAGCTTTTTCTTATCCTATAATATACAAAAAGGAACAAACAGTTAGATATGGTGAAATATTGAATGAAAAGGGTGAACTTAAATCTATTCAAAAACTAGAGGAACAAGGTATAAAGATGAATTGGTTTTCATAAGCGCAAATACACTCAAGGTATGATAAAGATTCTAAAACAGAAGGTTCCTATGATAAACTGTCTGACTTAGATAAGATTTTGACAGGTACTGATGAAAAGGTGATTAAAAAATTGTATGAATATTTATTAGAAAGTAAACTA